GATGGGCCCTACTGCTTTGGGCCTATTCTGGAGTAACACATGTGGAAGGAAGTTTATAGGGGAACCAAACCACTCACCTCCTGGTAGGGAACCTGTATAGAGAACAAAGAGACTAGGTATTCTGTCTTGCCAGCAATGACACCCCCCCAGTGACTAGAAGACCTCTCACTACTCCCTACCTCTTATTCATGCAAGATCCTTATACTCTCTACCGACGCAGACTAATATGTCTCCCTACCCAAGTAACATATGTCCAAAACAACTCCACATTTAAGAGCTCAGTCTTGTTGGGCTGGAGAGATAACTCAGTGAATTAAGTGCTTGCCTGATAAGCACAAGGACCTGGGTTTGATCCCGATACCGCATGCTGTCTCAGCTCTGGAACCCCATGCATGCCATGCTGGCCCTGAAACTGGGTGTTGTGGCACATGCCTGTAACCCCAGCGCTGGGGAGGCTGAGACTTGGATCACTATGAGTCCAAGCTGGGTAACGAAACCCTGTACCAAATAAATAAACAAAAGATTAAGAAAATAAGATCCCACTACTGTTATGAAACTAATGAACATGGTAGAAAATCAGGAAAAGATGGATAGATCAGGAGAAAATCAGGATCAAGCAAATTCCCATCAGCAGCTCCTTTGTCTTGGGCTCTCTGACTATTTCCAGCCTAGTTGTATAAAAACCATCTTTGAGACAGCTGCTATTGATTGCTTTTTTCAATTGATTTTAATTTTTTAAAAGAGAATAAAAATAATTTTAAAAAGCATTAGAAATGATGCAAAATTTCACTAAACAAGATAGGAATTCAACAATGGTTGTGATATTGCATATTGTTGTCTTCAAGTTAGTTGTTCAGATTATCAGATATTATAATGCAAAATTTGCAAAAGAAACAATAAAAAGAAAAAATATTTAAGCATTAACTGTTCCTTTCAATAGACCAGTACAAACCAGCAGTGCAATGATCCCAGCTAGCCCATGTATATACATACATTTTTTCCCCTTCTTTTTTTTTTCCTTTCCCTTATCCCAGTAGTTCCTTCTCTTTGCACAGTTTCTTTCTCTTTCACAATATCTACTGTAACTTTATGATTTTATTTATTCTTTCAGGTTCTTACACTAGGGACACAATACAATGTTTCCACACGTGGGTCTGATCTATTTCACTTATGAGTATGGTACTTAGTTGCAGCTATTTACCTACAAAAGCTTTATGTTTATCTGTTTTATAGCTGAGTAACACTCCATTGTATAAAAATAGATCTTTTTAATCCATTCCTCAGCTGATGATGTCCAGGTTGTTCCCAAGATTTAGCTATGACAAAGTGTGCCACTAGAAACACGGGTATACATATATCATTGTGGTATGATGTTTTCAGTTCTTCTGAAAAATACTCAGGAGGAGAATAGCTGGCTTGAAGGGGACCTCTAATTCTAGTTTTTTGAGGAATCTCCATATTGATTTCCATAGTGGCTGCACCAGTCTACACTCCCACCAACAGTGAAGGAGGGTTGCTCTATCCCCAAAGTCCCTCTAGCATTTGTTATTGGCTTATTTCTTGATGTTAGCCTTTCTTTCTTGAATGAGATGGAATCTAGGTGCTGTTTTAATTTGCATTTCTCAAATGGCCAATGATGTTGAACATTATTTCATATATTGATTTGCCATTTGTATTTTTTCCTCTGAGAAGTATATATTCATGTCAGATGCCCAGTTTTGATTGGGCTTTTGAATTTTGGGGGCCTAATTTTTAAATTCTTTATGTGTTCTAGATAGAAGTCCTTTGTCTGAGGAATAGTTGGCTAATTTTTTTCCCATTTCATGGGTTTTCTTTTTACTCTGTTGGTGATTTATTTTGATGTATAAAACCTTTTCAATAAGATGAGATCCCAGTTGTTGATTCTTCGAAGTATTTCCCAAGCACTTTGGTTTTTGTTCATGAAGTCTCTGCCTACCCCTATGTCTTCAAAACTTCTGCCTACTCTCTCCTCCAGTAGATTTAGTGTTTCTGTTTTAATATTTAGACCTTTGATCCGTGTAGCCTTCAGTGCAGTGCATGGTGATGATTGTGACTTTTCTGTCCTTGATTTCCTATGATGTGGCATTGGCCTTCAGAGCCTTCAGTATTTCTGTTGCTCTGAACAGAAAGAGTGATGAATCCAGGCTCTGTTTCCTGGAAAACAAAGTCAGGCCTGTGCCCTGCTCACCTTTCCTACAGCACATGCTGACAGCATCCTTTCTCTGAAAGATTACAAGACCTTGAAAGCAGAGCTGTGAGGAAGCCGTGTCATGTCCTGTAATGTATCAGGTTCAGTACTGATAGATGCGGGGAGGTGAGCACGTGTGTGGACTCCTGGTGGAGCCTGGCGCACACGTGGTGCTGTTGGCAGCTGTACTAATATTTAATATTCATGCCCCGGGGCTCTTTAAACTCTTAACAATCGGAAGCTATTTGGTTTAACCTGACAGCTGAGAAGTAGGGAGAAGCAGGAATGGATGGAAAAAGCATTATTGTCAGAAAGGCCCCAGCTTGAATCCTGGTTCTCTCACTTAGGATTTGAAATGCATAGAATTAATTGCACTCATGCCTTGAGTCTCAGTTTACCCACCTGTGAACTGGCACTACTAATCCTACCAATGACATCACTTCATCTGCATGGCATGTTCTTTCTCAGGTGAAATGCCTGATTCCTTTAGTCCTTGCTATATTATTATTTTCACTTTATAGGGGGCCTGAGGGAGATTTGGAAAGGTGGAAATGACATGCTACCAAGTGGGAAAACCTAGATTTGAACTTAGGTTAAAATGACAACACAGCAGGTGCTCATGATAGCTGCTCTAGTCTACTTCCTCCACCCCCACCCCCATTTTGCATAGTAGGGACTAAATAGGGAATTGCATTTGCTAGCTTTTGATTTACAGATACCATCTTCCAAGCTCATCACTGAATTTTGTTAGATTTCATCAGAAAGAATTTTATATGGCAGAAAATCAGAGTGATTTGTTGAAGGTCACAGCCAGAAAGCCAATCTTCTAAATATCTGTTGTTCTCTGTGCTTTATGAAAGAGTGTTCCAAACCTATCTTTGTTACTCCTTAAAATATGATCTACTTCCTAGAATCAGATTAAGATGGAAATGAATTCCTGCTAAATGTGCCTGGGCTGATCCAGACATCAGGGGAACAGCTGGGACGCTCCATCAGTGGTGAGGGGGAGGGAAGACGAGGGGAGCGGGGAAGAAGGCTGGAAAGCTCAAGGAACAAGTGAGAAGATTAGAAAATTCCAGGCTTACTATGGAGAAGCTGTGAAGAGCCAGATACCCAGGGAATAGATAGGATTCTGGCCAGAACACACATAAGACCTTATGTTACCCGCTCACTTCAGCTTTTATGGTTTAAGAGTGGCAATGGGCACTTCTTTTTGGAGGACAATGAATATTTTATTATCTTTTTGATCACAGAATATAAGATAGGTATCTGCCCATATAGGGTTATCTAGTGGTCTTATCTACACATAAACTCTTTAAACTGAAATACAAAGTGTTCTTTTGGGTTCTTTAAAGGACCTCTTTCCTGAAGTCAGCTTGCATCTTTCAGAATATTTTGTCTACTTTTTTTTTTTAAAGATCTCTTTTTTTTAACATTTATTGTGTGTGTGTGTGTGTGTGTGTGTGTGTGTGTGTGTGTGTGGCCAGCTCAGCCCACCAGGGGGCGCAGCTGGCTGGCATGTGGTGCTGGGGGAATCGAACCGTGGTCCCTGTACTTTGCCAAGCTTGTTCCAAGTAGGTGCTTTAGACCACTGAGCCATCTCTCCAGCCCTTTCAGAATATTTTGATTCAGTTTCTTTCCCTCTATCTTTTTTATGGACCCAGGAGAAAGAAAGCTGGGGTTTTGGAGACTGGAAGTAACTGGTGGTAGAAAGGGGGTTATCTGGGGAGACGAGCAAGTCCTCTGGTGAGAACTCAGGGAGGACTCTGTAGCAGGATGAGGACTGGCTGTGAGGATCAGTGGTCCCTAGAAAGGGAGCTCCTGACGTTCAGGGCCTTCTGTACAGGGCCTGGTTCTCAGCTCATTCCATTGTTGAATGAATGAAGAGCTGGATGCATCATAGTCTTGAGACTAAACCCAGAAGTTAATTATTACTTATAAAAGAGACAAGGTGTTCTGTCATGGTAAGGTCTGGTAGATTCTTCATGAACCACTTGGCCACCCTCAGCACCACCGATCACGGACTAACAGGTGCCACCTGTCCCTGGAGTGAGCCACTAGGGAGTAATCCTTTCTCCCCAGTATGTGTGGATGAAGCTTCCTTCTTTGTCCTACAGCAGTAAGCTCATTTACACTGCCTCATTTGACTCTCAGGAAAATCCTAGGAAGCCTCCTTGCTACTATTTTGATGAAAGAGAAGCCTGGGATCCAAAAGGTCAAGCTGCTTGTTAAAGCTTACTCAGAGAGTAAGGATTAGAGCCCAGCATCTTGTTCTCCTTCCCTGTCCTTATCTAATCCAACCATCAGCAAACTTTAGCCCATGGCTGCTGCCTGTAAAGTAAAGCTTTACTGGAACACAGTCACATTCTTGCATGTACTATTGTCTGTGGTATCTTCCTGTTATGAGAGCAGGCTTGATCCCAAATGTTTCCTATCAGATCCTTTCCAGCAAAATTTCTCTGAACAATTGTATGGTGTTCATAAATAAGCCAAAAAGGAATTTTGCTGACTCAGGAATGCATCAAGTCTTTAAGAAGCTTTGCTCCGTAAAGAGCTCCAAAATGTGTCTCTCCTCCATCTCTACCAGTGTCATCTCCATACTGCTTCAAGCCACCTCTGGAACTCCCAATGGTTTTTGTTTCCTTGGACCATTGTTTGCACAAATGACCCTCTCCAAAGGCATCCCAACCCTATTATGCTTTGCCTAACACACTCCATAAATGCCCCTCGTTGTTTTTAAGACCCAAATCTTTCCTGATAGCTACACAGTTCTATGTGATCCAGTTCCTACCTTCAGTGCTATCAACACCGCTTCCTTGTCCTGACCCCTACGGTCCAGGCACACAATGCTCCTTGAAGTGGTTTGCGTGTATTCTGCTCCCTCCAACCCCAGGGCCTTTGCACCCATGTCTCCCTCTCTTCCTGGATACTCATGTGAAACCCTTTACCTTCACCTTGCTGGTACCGGCTCATCTTTTAACTCTTTGCATTGGTCTCTTCAAGCCTGGTATGCTGCCATGTAAACATCTACAAGTTGAACAGTGCAGAACTCTGGAGGGATACACCATTTATACTATAATTGAAGTGGATGAAATCTATTTGGGGACAGAGTGGTTGGTGGTAAAGGGGAAGTTATCTAAATGAACAATATATTGAGAAATTATGAAGTATCAGCGCTATGCTTAACGTTTTACACCATCAATTTCAGTTAGTTATTAATAAATCCTCTTACAGAAGGATAAGTAGAAATATAGAGAAAGCCTTAAAACTATGCAGGTGGTCAAGTAGCAGAGACAAGACTGGAACCCCCGTCTTCTTGCATTTACAATTTGGGTCTTCAGCTATTAAGCCTCTTAACAATTCAGTGCCCCAATCCTTCTTGCTGAAAGCGAAGGTCTCTTTCTATTATCTGCTGCTTAATTTGCCCATTTTCTAAGGGGTGAGCTTATCTTGCTGAAAAAGATGAGTGGGAGGACGGACCCTGGAGAGGCTCAGAGAGAAGACAGAAGGCTGCATCATGCGTTGCGAAAGGTGATGACAAGGCTCGGGCGGAGCAAAGGGGAAAAGGAGCGATGACATCCAGAAAAGAAACCCACAAGGGTTCACAGGACTGTTTCCTTGCTGTTTTCTGTGTGGGATGCCATCTACAGTGCTATCTTCTCCGTCTCTTCTGCGAGCTGCTCACACCGTGTGCTGGCGTTTTGAGGATGAGTATTGCGATGCCCCGAAGGCCTGGTGCTCACTGTGATGAGGCGGGAGCCTTATCGAGGTGGGTCAAGGGGAGCAAAAGGAGGCAAGTGACAGTTGCAGGAAGAGAACAGGACGTGGAGTCAGAATCCCCGCTCCATGCCCTGCTACCTGTGAAGTCTTCGGAAAGTCATTTCTTACCCACATCAGGGTTCCAAGCTGTCACTCGCTTGGTCTTCATGCAGCAGCTGTAAGAAAGCTGAGAGGCATGCTTGTCACACGGGGCGTGAGGAACTAAGGAGATGCTACCATCCCTGTCTCTTTACTATGAGTCTCTGTGGTTTTTACACAGTCATACACGGAAAATGTAATGAGCAAGATTATGAAAATTTTCCCAAAGAACTTCCAGAGCTCAGCAATGGTAGCAACAGAACAATGCACCAGTAGGTGGCGCTAGATGCCATCGCTTTCAGCCAAGTCCCTGCTTGCTTTGATTCTCAGCTCCCTCCCCTCTCTTGATTGAAATGGAAATTGGCTGCCAGCATCAGTGAGCCCTATCAGCCCTGGGCCTAAGCTTACATGCAGCAGCCAATGTGCTATCCACCTAGTTAAAAAATTAATCAAATATATTAATCTCATAAGCTCTTTGAAAGACTATCCAAAGGGCCCACGGTCCAGCTGTCAGGTACCAGTAACCAATGGGAATCTACATGATGGACTAGGGGTTGCCTTACCAAGTCTTGAAAGAACCTTAAGAAATGGGCCCCCGGGATGTGACCATCATTCTCTTCTGTACTGTGAATCTTGCCACTGATACTTTTCTGTTTAATAACAGGGCTTGAGTTCCATGTATCTGGAAACGCAGTAGACTGGAGAGGGCAAATGGACTCCAGTTTGACTGCCAGCTTTAATCTACCCAAGTGCTGTAACGCAATCACATCAGAATACATTTCTGTGATTGGTTAGTGATGTCTGGCATGGGCCAGGTTGGGAACAACTGCATCAGTGACACACAACTGCCATTCCTGCATGGGACATTTGCTTGCCTTTTCTCAAGAAATTCTCACCATCACTCCTAACTGTTGAGTGCTGTGATTATTATTGTCCTTGTTTTATGACTGGCTGGTCTGAGCTCAGAGAGGCTGAATAGCTTGCCTGAGGTCACCTAGCATGTGAGAGACAGAATTGGAAGTTGGAGCAGTCTGCTTGCCTGTAGAATTCCTTCTGTTGCTTATCATACCACGAATTATTTCCTTCATTGGAAATGAAACATTATTTGGCAATCCATCCTGGAGAAGTGAAACAAGTAGTGAGCCCAGAAAGTCTCTTTTTCCATTGTCACAGGCCTGGAAAGAAGAGTGCATGTTAGAGATGAAGTCCCAGTGGGACCCCAGTCCATTATCTCTTTCCTTGGAAGAAGATGAGGTTGATGCTTCCGCTGTAATCAAGTGAACCCCCTGAAGGTACCAAGAAACCTAACTTGCTTCTGGTTAATATCTTTTAATCTCATTTTTTCACATAAGCAACAGAAGTAGAGTTGAGTTTAAGACACTGGTGAAAGAGAAAAGAGCCAAGATTCGGAAGGACCAAGAGGGGGCGTGACCTCAGGAGGATCCTGAGGGTGACTGCCGGGCTGCTAGGGTGTGAGTTCTAGGATGCTGTCCCCAGGATGCCATGTCAGACTATCTGGCACATATTAGGAGCCTCAGTGGGTGGCCAGAGCAGCCCAGACACATTCAAATGCCTAAGATGTGTTAGAAACAAGGTACATGTGGGGTGCAGGAGAAGACACCATTCTTGCCCTCGGGGAGCTCTGGATCTAGGCAACTCCACCTCAGAGTGGTGGGAAATTATAGGCACCAAACACAGCCTGAAGGCCACAAGGGGTGCTGACAGGGATCCAAATGGAGCTGAAAACAAAAAGGGGAAGAAAGCGTGTGTGAGAGCTCAGAACAGGACACATCAGCACACGCTCTTGGCACCTTGGCAGCCCCAATGCTTTGCACAGGAGATTGGGAGGGTCTCATCAGTGATGTCTCCCTGCCCTTCTTGCATTGTTTGCCCCAAACAAGCCATACAATCTAGAAAAATTACTCTCTGACCTCCTTTTCTCCCCTGAAGATCCTCATGTGACTGGTGTCCTGACTTTTACCCCGGGGGGAAGGGGGACTTACAGAGACACAGCCTGGCCCTGCGCCCAGGGTGCTGCTTGTAGGTCACAGTCTTTTGTCCAGGCTGCCCTCTCCACAGCTACCCACTTCTTTCATCAGACTTAGCATAAAAATACAGTCTCTTCAGGGTTCGATCCCTGGCATCACAAGCCATGCCAGCCCCACCCCTGGGGTGCGCTGAGATGGCAATTGAGACTGGGCATGGTGGTGCGTGCCTGTAATCCCAGTGCTTGGCAGTGAGACCTTGTAGACCCTACACTAGTTTGATTTGAAACTGTCTCATCACTATTTGTCTGTCAATGAAATTGTGGAAAAAAATAAAATAAAATCAGGAGCAAGACAAAAAAAAATGTGCAGTAGATATTGTGAAAGGAAAAGAAACTGCTCAAAGGAAAGAGAAATGGGGATGGAGGAAAAGAGAAAAGAAGGGGAAAGCATGTATGTATATTAGATAATTGTACTACTAATTTCTATTAGCTCATTTAAAAGAACAGTTTGTGCTTATACTGTTTGACCAATTTTCATGCCTATATCTTGTAATCTGAACAACTAATTTTAGTTTGAAGATAATTGTAACCTTTTTTTAAAAAAAAATAGTCTCCTCTGGGCATCGTAGTCTTCATTTCTGTATTGCTCATTCAAGGAGTCCGTCATTTTTCTAATCTCCTGTATTTTTTTTATCAATATCTTCCTTAGAAGCAGTTAAAAATTCTTTTACTACAGTGTGTTTTTCAGATTGGGTTTCCTGCTTATGTTTCTGTAGCTGCTTCTTTACTTCATCTGCTACGAGTTCTGAGAGTTCTTTTTTAATTTCAGAAAAGAATTGCGCTCTGATTTCTTCTATATCTTTCTGCTGCTGCTTATTTACTATCGGCGCTCTTGATTCATGCATTTGAGCTGAGCTAGTGTCCTCTGCACTTGTTCTGAGTGAGCACTGGGTTGCTTCCATATGTTTCTGCATTTGATTCTTTAGTGCAGATGTTATTAATTCAGGGATTTCTTTTTTTCATTTCCAATCTGAGGTCTTCTATATCTTTCTGCAGCTGTTTTATTTTAGAAGCGGTTGATTCATTGCTTTCAGCTGTGTGATTTCCAATTTGTTCTGTGTTAGTGTCCTCTGCACTTGTTACGGGTGGGCTTGGGTTCTGAGGTTGCATTTTGTTCCTTCTCGTCATTTTGTGTAGCACTGTCTTCTGCCCTTTGTTGTAGATCTTTGCTGTAGTTATAACCTTCACACGTACTGAAGTTCAGGTGGAGCTCTACAGATTTTGGAGTTATCCAGCTGCGTCTGGCTTAGGTCTGGCTGCTGTGCTCAGCTCCTTCCTGCTGCGGACCTGGGTAGGATTGGGTCTGGAGGTTCCTGGAACTCGGCAGAAATTCCTGGGCTAGGGCTGGGTCTGGGGGTTCCCGGAAGTCGGCAGAAATTCCTACTCGGCGCGAGGGGTGGGGGGCGGCCCGAGGGGGCGGGAGAGGGTCCGGCCCACGCTGCGCCTGGACTGGGACTGGTCCCGCCGGTGCAGGGTAGCAGGAAGCTCTCCACACACTCACCGGACCTGGGCTAGGACTGGGTCTCTAGTCTTCATTTCTGAAGACTCCCATGTCCCTCCAAAACTTCAGGTATGTAAGTCTGTTACACATTTTATTTTGGTTTGTTTTTGTTACAAGACCATGAGCCATGACAGTGGGTAAAGTAAAGCTATGCTTGCTTCCTTTACAGGTATTTCAGACAGAGAGCTTGGAGTGGCTGGCACGTGGAAGATGGTAGGAGTAGGGAAGAGAGAGGGGACAAAGGCTCTTCTGATGACCCCAAGAAGGAGAGAGCATGCCCGAGGCTGGTAATGCTGCTGAGGAGCCACTTCAGCTAAATTACCTATGGGGGAGAGTCCCTGCTAAGGAGTGAGGATGCAGATTGAGTTTAATGTCATTTAAGAAGTTAATTTACTTGTTTTTTAATAGGTAGTTTATATATGTATGTATTTGGTACAGGGTTCCATTATACAGCTCGGACTTGTAGTGAGCCTCCTGTTTTCAGCCTCCTCAGTGCTGGGAT